CCCGGCCCGACCCACCCGGACGTTCCTCTCCACGCGCCCCTCGCCGAGGCCCCTGCCCTCCTCGCGGCCAGCATCACTTCAGGCTGCTGGGTTCGCCCCGCTCCCGCCGCCGCCGCCACCGCCTCGGCGCCCTTCCCCTGGCCCTCATCCCCCCAATGTCTGACTCTGACTCTCGGACTGAGAAACGCAAGGTAAATACTTCCGAATCTCGAGGAGCAGGCCGAGTACAGATGGAAGACTTGGCGCTGGAGCCAGCACGGCTTCACCTTCTGCCCGCTTCCCTCGCACGTGCAGGCAGAGACCCGTGTACGCGTCTGGCTGGTCGTCTGCCGGGAGGCGGCGATCAGTGCGGGTCGGGCTTCCTCCCCAGGCCGGTCCGCTTTGGGGAGGGTCGTCCGCGGCTCGCGCAGGGATGCCGCGCGTGGGGGTGGTGAAGGGTCTCAGGCCCAATTGAGAGGCAATGCATGCTCCCTGTGCTGGCCCCGGAGCTGGGGGACGCCGCACCGTACTGGGCTGCGCGCCTGGCCGGGAAGTCTCGCCAGCCGCCCGCCCCGGTGGCCCCCGAGTTGCGGTCGCGAGGTACGAGCCGCTCTCGCGTCTTGGCTTTTAGCGGGCGCGGCCAGATTTACAGAACTGTGATGGTGTTTAAACTGATGAGACTCGGCTTTTCCTTTTACTCCTTCAGGCCGAGCCAGGTTTCGGGCAGCTAAGTTCGCCCTTGCGGACTTGTCTAGGGCTCTTGCCCGGTCTGCGGGCGCTCTGCAGACGATGTCTGACGCACAGTCCGCAGACAGCGAGAGACGGCCTCTCCCGACCAACGGGGCCACACAGTGGACGAGCGGCGGGCAGTAGAACCTGCTCGGTCCATGGGGCCGGGCGGTCTTGGCGATTCGGGCGTGCCCGAGCGCAGCCCGACCCACTCGCAGTGCTGGCTGGCGGTGCCGTGCCCTCGGGGGCCTGTTACTCAGGGCTGGCGCAGGTAGTGGAGGGCCCGCCGCACGCCGGGGATGGGGGCTGTGGATGTGTTCCTTGTCTGTGGTGGTCACGGGTGCGCGCGGAGATGCGCGTCGGTGGCCAGTGGTGGCCGCTCAGATTTGGTGCGTGTCCCCCCGGCGCACGGGAGAAAGAGGGAAGAAGTTGGAGGAGGAGGGGTGCTACAGCTGGAGTAGGGGTCCCCACCCAGCGGACCTGGGTTAGGGTCGGCGGCCGGGACTGCAGTCTGGGGACGGCCGTGCGGGCTCTGTTTTGTCTCCAGGTGACCGGCTCTTGGGGTCAGCAGGAGCTGCGGGGGCGCTGGAGGCGCCTGGACCGGCAGAGGGGCGGGGCGGGGTGGCGTGGGCACCCTGTGTCCCGGAAACCTCCACCGAGGCTCCCGCCACCGCCACTGCCCGAGCGGCGTTCGGAGGCGAGTTTGTCAACAATCGCCTT